TTAATATCCTGCCCACATACTGACAAATAGACTTACATCTGCAACTACTGTAATCTCTTTTCCTGCAGCCCAAGAAGATGATACCTCTGTTCAAGACTAGTCCTTATGACTGAACCCTGTACTCACACTCTTCTCTCTACCCAAGATAAAAGTCGTATCACACATTTCTTGCTTTGTCTTCCATATTTTCTGTCTTCCCACTGCCACTGGCTCCTTCTCATTGTGATTCATATCTCCATTAGCAGGTCTGAGATATGCATTAGGCATGGTACTAACAGGAAGCAGACAGGATAATTTGAAGAGAGCTTAATAAAGTGAGTACAATTGACCTTTGAACAATTCCAGGGTGGCGGGGTGCCGAGGAAATGTTAGGGGTGTCCACCCTCTGCACAGTCAAAAGTTGGTTCTCTGGGTTCCTGGTTCCACATCCATGGGTTCAACTAACTAGATTTTGTAGTGCCACAGTAGGCATTTATTGAAAAAACAATCTGTATGTAAGTGGACCCGCGCAGTTCAAATTTGGGTTGTTCAAGGGTCAGCTGTATTTACAAAGCTGTGAGCAGGCTGCAGAGAAGCTACAAACCCAGCAGACAGACGGGGCAGAGAGGTGGGGGAATTGAGCAGTTTCTGGAATCCAGAAGAGTTAAATGGGTAGAGTCAACTTAAGAGGAATCACTCAAGTGACAGAGCTAGTCTTAACTGACTCTGTAGGAAGATTTCTGAGAAATAAATACCCCAACCTCATTCGTCTCCCTCCAGTTTCCTACCGGAGCCTCCCATAGGCCAAATACAACCAGAAGCCTGTGGACAAAAGATTTCTTATTATAATTAGATCCCTTTAGAGACCCGTATCTTAGGGCCCAGAGTCCAGTGAAAATGGGTAAAAAGTGGATCTAGATGGGGCAAACAAAAGATAGAAATACTGTATGGAATTTTTTTTTTCTGGAACACTTTCCCTCTAATTTTCATTGGAAAGCTAATTTTAAAGAAGAGATGTCTTTTTAAAACTTCTAATTGTCACTATTTCGTTTCTAGGTAGTAGAATAAATTTCAAAAGCTCTGTCATTGAGAAAAGGTCCTGATTTCTAGAATTCTTTGTCCTGTCCTTCTAAGTGTCCATTCGCTTGGTGCCTTGAATGTATAAGTGCCAAATCAATGATTGATTGGATTTGTTTTAGCTTCACTACACACCATTCTCTATTTGCCTGTATTTCTGTTGCCTTGGTAACTTTCAAAGGCTTCATTCTATAAAAAACAAAGGTAAGAGAAAAAGCAAAGCAAAAAACCCCCCAAAAACCTCAAAGCCCCCCCCCCAGGCATCACAAAGTAAGAAACAAAACCAAACAAAACATGGAGCAATGTTACATACAGTGGAGAAATTTTAATTTTAAGGTAAGGAAGTAGGCTTTTCCACCATGCTTGTCTTTGGCTAAGCTGTGGTGCATCATGGCCAAACTGTATGCGGCCAGGGCAGGCCCAGGGGGAGCCCCCCTTTTAGAGGTGGCTGGCCTCACACCTGCACAAACACCCGTTAAGAAAGGGGCAGTTGTATTTGGCGGCCAGCCCCCTGTTGCTTTTTCATCAGGGCTTTTTTTTGCTTTTCTTCTCTTATCCACCTTGTACCTCGGCTAGCATGTTCCTGAAATGGATATATCTGTGGTTTTCCTGGGAGCGCGACGTTGAAGAAGGTGGGTGTTGGCTTCCTGGGGTTGATTAAAGAGTGTCCTAACTTGCTCGGAAGCACTGAAGCCATGAGTCTCCCTTGGGTCTGTCTGAAGGTTTGCACAGCTGTTATGTGCTCAGGACAGGGTGCATTACCACCAATTATTTTGTCATCATTATGTCCTGAAACGATAGCATTTTGCCACATGGGCGTATAAAGAAAATATGGGAATACACTGGTGGCCATGGCCTGGGGAGAGAGTGACATGCAAATCTCAACTTTATCTTGAAATCAGGCAGATCCTTAAGAAAACTCTGTTGTTTTCTGAGGAAGCTTGAATAGTGTGTGCTCTGTTTTCCCTTTCAATTTTCTACTTTTCCTTTATTCTACTTAAAAAAAGCCTCCCACCAGTAGGCATGAAATGGGACAGGTTCATGTCTCGTCACCATCCTTTGCTGTCTAGGGCCCCATCCTGTTCCAGTCTATAGGCTAAGCAGGTTTTAAAGTGGCCAGGAGAGCTTACAGAAGCTTTTCACTGCTCCAGGAAATTATACCTACACTTTGGTTATATGCGACCAGGTGAACAGTGCAGCTGGAGCCAGGTTCAGCAGCTCTCACGGCTGGGCTTGTGAATCTTCAGTAGGCCCTGCACTTGAGTGGTTGGCAGTCTCAGTTGGCTCTAAGTGATGTACTCAGTAACAGAGGTGGGGAGGTGAGGGTGTATCTGGAAGTGTCCGCAGACCAGTTTGTCAGGAGCAGACGTTTTGAAGAGAAGAAGAGTGAGAGAAAGCATTAGGAGTGAAGGTTAAATTGTGGAAGGCCTTAAACAGTGCTTTAATCAAGTCTTTATGGATGAGTAAGCCTTAGTTATCTCATCTTTAAAATGGGGATAATAATATACATTTTATGAGGTGAGAATGAGATGACTTAATACATATAAAATGTCTTCCATTACATTGGACACATATTAAGTATGTAATAAAGAGTAACTGCCCCCCCATGATAGTGGACATAATATTTAAGGATGATTGATGTGGCAGTAGTGTGTAGGATTAGTTGGAGGAGGAAAATAGTGGAATAGAGAGCCCAGTTGCAAGGTGGTTTCAACAGTCTAAGCGTAAATATAATACTAATGAGTCTGGGAAAGAAGAGACTGATGAGAAATCACACCAAAGAAGAATTAAGAGGCCTTGGGGACTGCCTGGAATATGCCAGAGAAGAGATGGAGAACTTAAAGATAACTGGGATTTGGGCCTAGGTCATAGGGAGAGTGATGGGAAGTTCAAAATATGGACCTGGTATTGACTAAGATTGTTAAATGACAATTCACCTAGAAGGGGTGGGTTGGGAGAGAGCTCATGGCTAGAACAGGTGTCACACTGGAGGAAGGAGGATGGAGAGGTCAAGTAAAAGTTGAAGAATGAAAATAGACCAGCCCAGAGGTGAACTGTCCAATGGCAAGGCCTGATGACAGAGAGAGAACAGTGCCAAGGATGAACTGCCTAATGAGTCGTGTAACTGGAGGAGAGAGTCCAGGAATTAAATCAGATTCATTCCTCCTTTTATTCCTGCTTTCCTGCCTTCCTCCTTTTTTTTCCCTCTTCTTTCCTTCCCTTCCTCCTTTTTTCTCTCCCTCCATTTCTTCCTTCCTTCATTCTTTCCCTCTTTCTTCCTTCTTTCCTCAGTTAAAAAGTAGGTTACATCCTGTGCCTCCTACCAGGTGTATAAAGTTAAATAAATGCGATCTTTGCTCTCAAGAAAGTCACTATCCAAAGTGAGTTAGAAAAAAGGCTAGGTACAAATGTGAGAAATAGTTCAGTAAATTAGATCTGGTCATACTGATTTTGGAGAAAAACAACTAACCAACAAAGTAGAGATCTTTTTTTTCCTGAAGATTGAGGACATAATAGATAAGGAGATGTAGGTGCACTTATTTGTTTTATTTTTAAATTTACAGGTGGTATGAGCGTATTTTCATCTACAGGGAGTATGAGTAGATTTTCATTCTGTAAGTGATATGAGTGGATTTTGCTCCAGACCTTTTCTTTTAAGGTGAGACATACGTGAACTCTGATGGAGAAGGTTGATTTTGATATTCATTTCAAGAATGTTGAGTTTACTAAGTTTGAAAGGGATCCGTCCCATGATCATGGTATATTGCAGAATTTTCTACTTTACATTTCTTTCTGAATTAAAAATAGCTCCTTCTCTGTTGGTGAACCATTAGATCCATCATCCTCAAGTATGGTTCAGGGCAGCGGTAGCAGCACCTCCTGGGAACTGGTTAGGAATTATTATTCTCAGGTCCTATCCGAGACCTACTGAAACAAATTCTGGAGGTGGGTCCCAGCCATCTGCATTTTCACAAGTCATTCAAGTGATTCTGAGGCCAGCTGGAAGTTGAGAACTGCTGCTTTATTTTTTTATTTTTATTTTTTGGGGAAAAATTAGGTTTATTTATCTATTTATTATTTTTAGTGGAGGTACTGGGGATTGAACCTAGGACACTGTGCGTACTGAACATGTACTCTACCACTGAGCTGTACCCTCCCCCCGTGGGAACTGCTGCTTTAGAACCTAGCATGGAGTCTTGTATTTAGTGGGTAAACAGTAACATCTGTTGAATCAAGTTAGTATTACCTGATGCTTTTTCCACATCTACCCAAGAGATGATAAAAGACTCAGGGTGAAAAGACTCAGGTGTGTAAAGTTCTTTCAGAAAGTGGAAGAAGCAGAGATTTCTTGTTCTTTTCTTACCTGGCTCGATTTTCCTTTTTTACCTCACCTCAGCAGCTGTCACATTAAACTTGCTATTCTGTGTGAGACCCAGGTTTAAGTTTGGGGGTAGCTGCCCCTCTGCTCATTATGCTGCAGTGAGCAACCCAACGAAGGAGCATCATCAGCGGCCATTTTTAGTTGCTAGGCCTTCTGTGGAATCAGAGAAAGGTGCACACTTCCGTGGTTCAGCCTCACCTCTGGCCGTGTGGCAGTATTGGATCCTGTTGATGAATGCTACTCTCTCAGCCTCCACCCTGACCTCTGCTTTCTATCCTTTGCAAATGCCTGAACCTGTTCTCTTTCCTGCCCTGACTGTCTGTTCTCTCCGTTTTGGTGATTTCAACCGTATCTGGGAGCTCCAGCTAGTATTTCTAAGGGAATTTCTCTCAAACGTATCTCTTGAGCACAGTTCTTCACCAGGTCTCCCATTTCTGACTGTCCTCTGGAATCTCTGCATGGAAATCCCACTGGTACCTTACATTTTAACCTGCCTGAACCAAATGACTCAATTTCTTCCATCCTTTGACACTTCCTCCCAACTTCTCCATTTCTGTTCAAGGTGCCACACTTGAAACACCAGAATCATCTTGGATGCACAGGACCAAGGAGAGGGCAGCATTGAGGCAGGGTCATCACTGAGGATGCTTCTCCTCTGGTCCCCTCACAGGTATGCCCCTGTGTCTGCTCGCTCCCTCTCTAGTTTAGCTCTTCACTCTCACGCCTGCTGCTGCAGTAGCTTCCTGACTACTTTCCTCTCTGTGTGAGACTCAAGGATACGGTGAGAAACTGCCTTCAGCTTTTCTTTCTCATTTTTAAATTTCCAAGTCATTATTCAATATGTGGGGCAAATCATCTTGCTCTGCAGTTGTATAATAAAGCTCTTTGTGGCAGCTTGTTCAGCGTGGGCTTCAGAGAATAAACAAATGGAGGTCATTTTGCCTTCTGGGGGGTTATTTTTAATATCCAAGATTTTTCAGTTCCTGCTCATTTACCCTGCTTCTTGCTTCAGAAGCGCCTCACAGCTAAATCCATTGATCACTTCCACAAAACATAAATCCCAGAAAAGAAGGCATAATTTATTCATAGAAGAGGACCTCAGACCTTCAATCTAAACATAGGAAATAATGTATTAGACACATTCTAACGTGTGGTATTACCCGGCTTTGCACACCACATGGAAACAGCAAATCAGATGTCTGGAAGGAAAGGGGACTGCTCATAATGCCAGGATTTGCTGACATTGGGAGTGACCTTTCAAAACAAGCAAGGGAAAGAAAGGAAATGAATCAATATTTTTTAAAGTGTTTTCCTTTCATTGTTCAGTTAATCCTGACAACAACATTTAATAGATGAGGAAACTGAGACTCAGAAATGTCTAATAATTTACTCAAAATCTAGCAAGAATAGAGATTCTGACTTGAGTGTCTTGGATCCCCAAAACCAATGTTCTCTTTATTACACCAGCATTTTCCAAAATGATTCAATGGAATGTGAGTTCATTGGAATGATGACAGATATTCTACACAAAAGTTTGATCAAGTTATTTTATAGTCCACTTCTCTCCCTACGCAGGCCCTGGCAACCCCTGACTTCTCCATATCTATAATTCTGGCTTTTCCAGACATCATATAAAGGGAGTTTTGCAGAATGTAGCCTATTGGCCTATCCCTTCTTCTTTCCTTTAAAGAAATGCATGTGAAATTTATCATGTTGTACCAACCCTTTGTTCCTTTTTATTGTTAAGTAGTCTTCCATTGTTTGGGTGTTGAAAAACATCAAGGTTGTTTCTAGTTCTTGCCAATTGTGAATAAACTTGCTATAAACAATCTCATTTAGCTTTGGGGGGTAAACATAAGTTCTTATTTCTTTTGGATGGGATTGCTAGACAGTGGAGAAGAGCTTGGCAGTTAATGCAAATCTCCTTATATCTTCAGCCCCAGTGATTCTGTATTTTCTTGATAGGTCACATTTGACGTTAACATTGACAGCTTTGTCTGAATTCTTCTTAAATATGTCTGGCTGTATCTGCCCTAGGTAAGTAGGGCTACAGTCCTGTCTCTCCCTGAAAATGCTTTTCAAGTGTCTGAGTTTCTTTATAATTCTTGTTGGTTGATTGCCCGAAAACCTTAGCTCTGTGATAGACTCATAAAAAAGTCGTGCGTTTACAGTTTGTTTGACTTTTTTTTTTTTCCCGTTGTTATTGCTGTAAGGGTGAAAGCAGTGTTCTTTTACAGCTTTTTGTATCTCAAGCTGGGACTAATCCCAAGCTAGAATTCTATTTGCTCACTTTTAAAAAACCCCAAATGTAAGCCATTATTTTGAATAGATCCAAGTGATTCCAAAAACTAGTGCAGTTTACTTCCAGTATTGTTGATAGATGGATTTATATGCATGTGGAAAATTCCTTCGAATGTAACTTTCTCATTTGTAAACATGGAAGGTTAATCTCCACGGACTCTAAAACCTCACGTATTTCTAATATTATCTGCTTATAGGTCCTAGAAAGAGAGGCTTGACATCTTCTAGCAACGGGACCCTCTAGCTGATTCCACTCCAAAGTAAGATTTTTTAGATCTAATACTAGCGTTTAGTTAGTTGCATGTGTGTCTCTCTGTGTGTGCATGTGTGTGTGTGTTTGAGAGAGAGAGAGATCATTCCATAAATAGAAGTCAGCACTTTCCTGTCTATTCCAAGCTCAGGAAAAGAAAATATTAATGCTTTTGGATGCCCATTCATGCTGCTATACATACCTTCCTCACTCCTTTATTTCTGCTGTCATCATCTACCAAATTCCTGATCACTATGAACATGTCCATCGGGGCCTTGGAGGGGACAACCTTTCTGTAAATCCAAAACTTTACCATCATCTAAACCATCCAATACCCTAGCCTCTCAGAATTATTGGAGATAAATTACCAAATGGTGTCTCTAGAAATACATACTTTTAAGCCTGACTTCAGGTCTCAGATCTCCCTTCAAAAACCCTTTTATGTGCCCCTAACCTACTTATTCTGCCGCTAAACTCAGAGGCTATTCCAACATATTAACCCCCTCTTAAAAAATTTCAGACTACTGTCCAGCTGCTCATTCAGCTGATGATTTCATTGCCTGTAGCCATCACGTGGGATTTATGATGATTTTTTTTCCATGCTCCTCAGTGTATTTTTGTGCATTTGTCCTAATCTCTCTTTTTGTTATAGTTAATAACAGTTTCACTTCCAGTCTAAGGTTAATCTTTTCCTCAAAGCCCAGCAATTTCCATCTGAAATTTTGAATCAGCTGTCAATATTGACAAAAAAACCCATGAGATTTTGGATGGGAATTATTGAATCTATAGAGAGATTCACATTAGTCATTAAAATAATAATTATTGACATGTCTGCTAATATTTTCTGCTTTCAGGTTACTTTTCCTGGTATTAATGTAGTCATTGCATCTTTCTTTTGATTAGTATTTACACCCTTTTCTCTCCTTTTAATCTATGTTTTTATATTTAAAGTGAGATTCTTCTAGACAACATATAGTTGAGTTTTCTTTTTTAATCTGGAAAATCCTTTATTCCTATTTTATCCTGAAAATTAATATTTAAATTGGGATGTTTAGAATATTTATATTAACATAATTATTGATATAGTTTGGCTTTTATTTAATATCTTACTGTGCTTTCTGTTTGTTTCATCTGTTCTTTGTCCCATTTTCCTCTTTTTCTCCATTCTTTTGGACTAATTCAGTGTTTGGTATGATTTCATTTTATCTCCACTATTGACCTTTTAGTGATATCTCTTGTTTTATTTTTTGAGTGCTTGTTCTAGGGTTTACAATATGAATCTTTAACTTATCACAGACTATCACTTCATGTATGATTTAAGACCCTTACAACATAAATTTTCATTATCTTTATTCTGCCCCTTGACTTGTTAAAGTTTAAATCAAAAGTTGTTACTTGGTTGAGGGTCATCTCCACCATAGCATTTGGAAAGGCATACTGTGATGGACGTGAGGGATACTAAAATGTAGACCCCATCCCCAAGGCACTTACTTGAGAATATGGAACATATTTAAATGAAAAGTGATTATAATAGGGCAAAGAAATCTGTGTGGTAAAACTCTAATGGCTAGAACAGATACCAAGTACAAAATGAACTGAGGGGAGATCAGCATAGATTGAAGTGACCAAGAAAGACTCTGTGAAGAGTTTGGAACTCAAAAGAAGGATTTACCAAAAGAAGAATTTTATTAATTAAATAAGAATGAGTAGGATGGCAGCTCTGGGATTTGGTAGAAGTAGTCCAGTGAAAATGAGCTTGACTAAAACAAGAAATTCAAGCTACAAATGGTAGAATATAAATTTGGAGATGGCATAATAATTTTGTAAAATGAAGCACAATATTTTTTGCAGAACATAGTCTCATTGTTTCACAATTTGTATTTCTGCAGCTTTGTTCTTTTGAGCTATTCCATCCCACTCTTTCAGGTAGCAGTGACTTGCTATAAAGCTTTCCAAAAGCAGCTCTACTCATCAACCTTGCGTCTAATAACTGTTAATGAATGACTGGAGTGAGGAGCGCAGAGCTGGGAGGCAGAGAATTTAATAAGTTGTGGAGAAAGTAATAATGAGTCTAGTGGAGAATATCACTTTTAGACTTGAGAAAAGTTTGCTTGGAAAAGAACAAATATTTCTTGGTTTCATGCTCTCTTCCCTCAGTCCCTCCGCTGCACTGCATATTAGACTTCTCTTTCTTTTAAACGCATCTCTAATTCATCTCTCATGTCACAACTTGCTATACTTCTTAAGCCTTAGTACAGATTTCAGTGACAGGCTTGGTGACCTCCCTCCATAGCTGCATGAAACTACATGTAGGAATGGTCTCTTGCTTCTTTGATGGGATCATCCGAGAGGCTGTGCAGGTACTCCCCTCTTCCTTTACCCTTTCATGGTGCTTCTCAAGAGGAACATTTTAGCAAAAGGATAATTCTTGTTGCTATATGGAGACCATTCTTCAGTTGATACTATATTACATCGGTATAGTCAGTGATATGTAAACAAATGCTCTGTGTGGTCGCTAAGATGGCATTATGACACTCACTCCCACTGCCATCACCTCTAGCAGTACACAGCCGCTGCCACCAGCCACTGCTGCCATCAGCACTGTTCCATTTCACCACTGCTCGTAGCTCTTGGCTGTGATTTCAGCAGTGTGCTAGGCATTCTCTCTATATCTTTTCCAGTCATCCAAGAATCCTGCATTATTGTCCTCTTCTGCAATGAGTACACTGATTATCACAAAGATTAGGTAATTTGTCTAAAGTTAGTGATCAGTAAAGCCAGGGATTAAGCCTGAGTTTGATTCCAAATCTAAAGTTCTTTCAACCATCATAAACAGCCTATCAAAAAACCTGTTAGTTTAATAATTCATTTTCCAAAAGCCTGCGCTGGATGCCCGCAGCGCCTGTGCCGATAAACCTGTTGTTGATGTGTTTTTTTGATTATCTTAATGTTTTTACTTGTTTTTATTTTCTTTCTTGTTCTTTCTATTTCTTTTCTTTTTGCTCCAAGTTAAATGTCTGATCCATGGTTTGGAGCCTCTGTGGCAGTTGGTGATCACCCCAGTGAATGTCAATTTTATTTAAAAAATGTTGTTTAAGAGCTGTTTAGCACCATTTTCAATGCAAAGCCATCTTATAATAAAGAAAATTTTGCACTTATGTATCTTAATGTTCTTAAAAGTGGTGACATACGGCAAATCCAGTTTGAGTCTTTTCAGGGTTGGGGGAGAGAGACTAGTGACGGTGCATGAAGGCGCAGGTTATTAACTTATTTAAACACAGTCACGTGATAACATTTCCACACTAATAACTTGCCAGTGGTATCTGGTCTCAGGAAATGCTGTATCTGTGTTTCTTGTATAACTTTAAAAAACTGCTGCAGCTGATGGCTTTAATTATTTCATACTTGGCCATTTCAGCTTCTGTTACACACTTCAGGTCATATGCATTTTCTATGACTCCCAGCCTCTTGGGTTTTCATCTTGTCTTGCTGTTTGGAATTTTTAATTCCTCCTCCATCAGATGAACAGGCACCATTAGCTGTTCTTTACGTCTTTATTGCGGGTGGGGTTGCATGCTTGGCTTTATCCCAGCAAGGAAGGGTTGAGTCTTGATGAGTTTTAACCAATCACAGGTAATTTCATTGTCCTTGACAGTGAATGATTTAAAAATTGACATTTAATGTAATTTTGGCAAATGAGACACGAGAGGAGTTCTGTTGAAGGATTTGTGGCAGGCCTTTTCTCCTTGGTAAATATTCACACTGGAGGAGCTATTTCTTTATTCTTCTATCCCTTAATATTTCTGTGGCCACTGCAATGCACGAAATGGCAGCAGCTAACTTGTGATGATGAGGAACAGGCATAAAGTTGAAAGAAAACAGATTGAAGATTCAGTGCCAGAAGAGAGGATGAACCTGTGTCCCTGGAAACATTTTTGAACTGAATTAATAAACTCCACTGAAATTTAATACTTACGCGATAAAAAAAATCAAGTGTGAAATTTGTTGGTGTTAATAAGCTTCTCAAATTTTGAGAAGTGGTCAGTTTTTTTTTTTCTCTTTTTTTTTTCTTTTCCACAGCAGCTCTTGTCAGAGATTAAAAAACCAATAGATAAATGAGGAAGAGGCTCATCAAATGGCAGGTGGTGGGAAAATTATTTTATAATTACTAAGATGTGAATATCAGCAATCTTTTTTTTTCACACTATGCTGAGTTTCTAATGCATGCATTACTATTAAATGTGATCTAATTATTCTGGCCTTTATTATTCTCATGAGCATAGAAATCTTTAGAAAAGAAACATGGTGATAAAGTTTTCTGCTGACTTCAAAGTCTTTCATGAAGTGCTTTAGACTACTAGCCACACCAGTTCAGCTGTATCTGCTTTTCCAAAGGAAGTTGTTGCAAGAGGTACAGTTGAAGAGTTGGTTTATATGAACCTTTGTGACAGAACCCCACATTCAGACTTAAGTTTTGTGTGAGGTAATAAACAAGAATGGCATATATGACTCATTGGCTTACAGCATTTTAAGAAATAAATTGATTTGTCAAGTCTTGCCATTATGTGAGTGACTAATGTTAAATAATAATAGCTAAATAAATAACTAAAACAATTAGCAGACATGCTTTATTCCTTCCGCATGGTGCATTCTAGCCAATTTCCTTATTCTCCTCTATTACTGCCTTCAATAGGATCTAACTTTCCTGAGAACCCTAGGTCTATATCTTCTTCCTTTCTGTGGAACCATATCTATTTTGTTTCTCATTCTGTCAAATGCTGGAATTTGCTGACAAATAGAAAGTAATCCAATAAAAATGCAAGATAATCTTAATGGAAGTCAGAAGACCTGGGTTCTGGATTCAGGGCCATCATTGACTAACTGTGTAACTGTGGACACAGTAGGTTAATTTGCTTCATCCATTTGACAAATGAGATAATCCAAAGCCAAACTGAACTAATTTTTGGTTAAGCACAGCATGCTCTGATTGTAATGAATCACCGAAGTTGTCTATAAACTCAAACTTGAGTTGCTTATCATATTATGCAAACCCAGTACTATTTTCTCATCGTAGCTTGTGAAGGTCCCCGACCTTCAATGCTAATAATACACAGACATGGCTGGTCAAGATATGGTCTGGATCTCTGGGGCCAAGTGAGGCTCTTTGTCTCACATGGACACATTTCATTGTACTTGTTATCCCCAAACGTCCACCAGCTGTGTTTGTTGGCCTTGCTGCATATCAGCTTGTTATGGATATCCCTGCCAGAAACTGTTGAGATTGGTGCAAGATACTGAACAAATGCACAAATCCCATCAATGGACCTCCAGTGACAGTGAGCTATAGAGCTGGTTATGTCCTGGGCTAAATGCTGACTTTGAAGACAGCATCAGATCCAAGCTGCTCCCCTGCCTCTCCATAGTTGATTTATAACCTATTGT